ACAAAATGGCCTGGGGGCAGAAGTAGAAGTGATATCAGAATCTAACAACATAGACTGTCACTTGCGAGAATGAATATAGTTACTGCCATCTCTGAATGGCTAATCTGCCAGCCATAAATACTATTTCTAAGCTCTCTTCCTTAAGGAAATCAATAGCCTACTTGGTCATCCTATAAGGGTACATGTGAATCTCTCTAAATGTAGAATATAAATGTCTTAACACAATAACTAAGAAAAAGACATGAAGGCTATGTTAACCAGTTGGATGAAAGTACTTCAAATTGTATAGAGAAATAGTACAGTGTACCCCATGATAGTATTAATGTACACTGTTACAATTTAATAATAAAATATAAAAAAAATAGTCTACTTGGTGACCAGTAGACTACATTGGTAGTCTTTTATCCTGGAGGGGCCAGATGTTTGCTCCCACAGGACTAGACATGCAAAGATTTCCTTTCCTCCCTGCAGGGCCTCAGTGGCACCACGCTCTGGGACCTTAAAGATTGCCTGACCCACAGACATGGAATCCCATGTAGCATAGCATCTGACCAGATGACTCTCTCCACAGAAGTGAGGGAATGAGCCCACAAACATGAGATCCACTGATCATATAACACACCTCATCACCCAGAAACTACTGGATAAAGTATTGGGATAGCCAGTTAAGATGGAGCTGAAGCACCAGCATGAAGGTAATGACATCCTCCAGCACCCAGGAATATATATGCCTTGAATCAGACAAGTTACTATGGTGCTGTGTTACCAGCAGAAATAATACATGGGTCTACACTTTATCTTAGCCAAAAGGCCGAGAAGTGATAATACATGGGTCTAGAAAGAGTGAAAAGAAGCCTCGGTGGCCCCACTTACCATCTTTCCAGTGACGCATCAGAGTTTCCTGTTCCCACAACACTGGGATCGGCAGTTAGAGGTCCTGGTTCCCCAAAGGGGTACAATCTTTTTTTTTTTTTGAGACAGAGCCTCAAGTTGTCCCCCTGGGTAGAGTGTTGTAGCATCACAGCTCACAGCAACCTCCAACTCCTGGGCTCAAGTGAGTCTCCTAGGCTCGACGCCTATAGCTCAACCGGCTAAGGCACCAGCCATGTACACCTAAGGTGGCGGGTTCGAATCCCCAGCCCGGACCCGCCAAACAACAATGATGGCTGCAACCAAAAAATAGCCGGGCGTTGTGGCGGGCGCCTGTGGTCCCAGCTACTTGGGAGGCGGAGGCAGGAGACTCGCTTGAGCCCAGGAGTTGGAGGTTGCTGTGAGCTATAATGCCACGGCACTCTACCCAGGGGGACAGCTTGAGGCTCTGTCTCAAAAAAAAAAAAAAAAAAAGTGAGTCTCCTGCCTCTGCCTCCCAAGTAGCTGGGACCACAGGCACCCGCCACAACGCCTGGCTATTTTTTGGTTGCAGCCGTCATTGTTGTTTGGTGGGCCCAGGCTGGATTTGAACCCACCATCTTAGGTGTATGTGGCTGGCGCCTTAGCCACTTGAGCCACAGGCGCCAAGTCAAAAGGGGTACACTCTTGCCTGGAAACTACAGTGATGGCTGTGACCAAGTACTTTGGCCTACTAATGGTCAGAGACTAGCAGGTAAGAAAAGGAATGGCCATCTGACCAGAGGTAATTGACACTGGTCAGGAGGAAGAGGTGGGTACTGTTACACAACGTGGGCAGGTGGAATATGTATGGAATTCTGGCTACTTATTTGGGTGCCTCTTGCCTAACTTCTTTGACTGTGAATGGATAAGAGGAGCATCCCTGGCCTGAGAATATGCTCAGCTCCCTTAGAAATGAGGATCTGGAGTGCTTAACCAGCTATGTTACAGGGAGCAAGCAGCTGAGGTGGATAACTAAGGGTGAGAGAATTAGAATGAATAGAGGTGGAGAGGTATGATGAGAGCCAATTCTAGCCTTAAGGCCAACTGCAATGACAGGGGCTAAGGGGCTTATTCCACTATTTTTCCTCTTGCAAGTTTCCTCATAGGAACAGTAGCCCTGAAAGAGCTGTTTCCTGAATACAAATGAGAAAGAGACGAACAAGGTGTAAAGGTTGGACTGTTGCTGACACAGTGTGGCACTCAGGTCTGCTTCAGCCAGGGCTTACTGCTTGGCTTCAAGGAGTATGACTAGTCAACAGCCTCTGGCATTAGTGCCTTCAGGATCCACCTTAGCATCTGAGCTGGTCACTCACTTCTGTGGTGGCGCCCTCCAATGACTGAGCAAGGCAGTGCAACAAGGGCCCAGCCTTCTCTTCCCAAAGTCCAGTTCTTGCTCCAGAGCTCCCCATTGGGCTGGCAGAGACATTGACAGGTCTGTATTCAAGTTTGACTGATCCCTAACCAACTATGCTCCCCTACACTTGTTAAGTTTTGATTTTCCTCTGAGTCCAGTCCCATGCCCTGGTGAATCCTGTACAGCAGACTTACCCTCACAAGTCTGAGCAAGCTGAGAGGCTGAATAATGAAGCTCACATATCCAGCTTCTTAGAAAGAAACATCTAATAGTGACTTACAAACAGAACCCACGTCCTGGGAGGCCAAGAGACAGTTGAGTCCTGAACTGTCACCACCACCCCCACCAGACCTAGAGCTTAGGGAAGGAATGTGTAGGACAACCAAAATTGACCTCTCAGCTAAAGGCAAGAATGCTCTGTGAATCTGCCGAAGGGCAGGATTTACTGTAAAGGAGATAAAGTAGAAATCTCAGGGCATTCCTGCAATAGGGGTTAATTAGCAACCAAGATGGACCTGCTTCAGCCTCCACAATTCCACGTCCAAATCCCTTTCCTGGAGAACCTAATCTGTGAATTTCCCCAGATTTCCTTTTTCCTTCCTGCAACTCCTTAAAACACTTTTCATGGCTTCAGACTGAGGGAGATTTTACATCTGTACATCCAACCACTCTAGCCCAGAGTGGACTCTTCATTCTCTAACCTTCTGTATACCCATTGCAGCATTTAATCACTGATTCCCTTACTTTTCAATTTTTTTTTCAGGTCTTCCTATACACATGCTCCTTGAGTGCAGGGACTATTTCTTAAGCTTCTGCATGCTCAGAGTGACTAACTCCTTTAAGGACCACATAGAAGCCAGTCAATAAACACATTGAACTTAGTTAATTTCATAATAAAAGATCCCTAGGAACCTGTCAGACCAGGAAGAAGGCCAAGTGGATTAAAAGACAACTATAGAAGCAACAGCCAGAGGGAATAAGAAGTCAGATGATTTTTACGAGGGCCCCATGTTTGGCTGGTTTCCATAAGAAAGTACTCTATTCCTAAAAGACATAGTTCATCTGTCACAAATGACCACACCAAGGGGAATTCTCAATAATTATTTTTGATGAATTTCAAATTTGACAACCAGATCCTACTATTTTCTAAAAAGAGATTTTTCCTATCTGATCAATGACATGTCTATTTTATTTGTGAGTGTTGGGAAGAAAAATTTTTTTCCTCTTCCAACTTGTGTCCTGTGTTTGGGGGCCTACATATTAGACAGATTCACAGGAGAAAAGAAAAAGTTTACGAATGTAGGAAGGATCCTCCAAGAACGGAAAATTCATAGACTATTCCCAAGCAAAGGTTCAGTCCTACTCAGTCCTTAGGGGGGTGCTAGGAGGCAGCTACAGGCCTGTGGCATCACGTGGAAGACCTTATGAAGAAGGCTAGTTTCAAATCAAGATGACAGGACATGTGTGTTCAAGTGAAGGTGATGGGAGTCTGTGGGAGCTGGTTTTAGGACAGGGGTCTCATTGAACACCATCAGCTTCATAGCCTTCCTGGAGTGCAGTGAGCTGGTGTGCTGTGGGAGCATCTTACTTTTATAGCAATGGCCAAACAAGTTTCTCTAAGGCAGAGTCTGAGCACCCTAGGTCTGGTTATCAGTCCATCAGTAAACATGTTTTGGTCACTGCTATTACTTAGCAAGTAAACATGTTTTGCCCAGCACTCCTTTTTTTTTTTTTTTTTTGAGACAGAGCCTCAATCTGTCACCCTGGGTAGAGTGCTGTAGCATCACAGCTCACAGCAACCTCCAACTCCTGGTCTCAAGCAATTCTCCTGCCTCCGCCTCCCCAGTAGCTGGGATTACAGGCACCTGCCACAACACCAGGCTATTTTTTGGTTGCAGCTATTGTTGTTGATTGGTGGGCCCGGGCTGGATTTGAACCTGCCAGCTCAGGTGTATGTGGCTGGCACCTTAGCTGCTTGAGCCACAGGAGCCGAGCCTTTCTTCTTTTGTCTTTTGAGACAGAGTCCCACTGTCACCCTTGGTAGAGTGCTGTGATGTCACAGCTCACAGCAACCTCAAACTCTTGGGCTTGAGCAATTCTTTTGCCTCAGCCTGCCAAGTAGCTGGGACTACAGGCACCCACCAAAATGCCCGGTTATTTTTTTGGTTGTGGTTGTCATTGTTGTCTGGCATGGCAAGCCGGGTCTGGGTTTGAACCCACCAGCTCCTATGTATGTGGCTGGTGCCCTAGCCACTGAGCTACAGGCCCCAAGTCCCAGCACTCTTTCAAACTACAAACATCTGGCGGGGGTGGGGCGGTTGCTCACGCCTGTAACCCTAGCACTCTGGGAGGCTGAGGCTAGGCTGGAGAATACCAGAGCTCACGAGTTTGAGACCAGACTGAGCAAGAGTGAAACTCCGGTCTCTACTAAAACTAGAACAATTAGCCGGGCACCTGTTGTCCAAGCTACTTTTGAAGCTGAGGCAAGGAGGATAACTTGAAACCAGAAGTTTGAGGTTGCTGTGAGTTAGGCTGAAGCCACGGCACTCTAGCCTGGGTGACAGAGATTAAAAACAAAAACAAGACCCCCCCCCACCCCCGCCAAAAGGAGTTCCTGGGCGGAGCCTGTGTCTCAAAGGAGTAGAGCTCTGGCCCTATATACCGGAGGTGGTGGGTTCAAACCCGGGCCCGGCCAAAAACTGCAAAAAATAAAAAGGAGTTCCTATGTCAAGCATCCTTAGTACAAGTGCAGATATCTAACTTGTGGAGTTGCGAAGATTCACTAACGCGGGTGGCAGAGCGCCCTGATCTGAGGAAATGCTCAGTTCTTTCCGGGAACTGTTGATCTGGGGAACTACAGGACTCAAGAAGCCTCTCAATTGCGTCATCTGCCCCACTGGTTTATAAAAACTCCACCAGCTCCCTAAGACCATTCTAGTTTCTCTTGCTTCCGAAGAAGCCTCGAGGAGCTCAGCTGGGGAACCGCACCCTCACCGAGCCTAGAATCGAGAAGGGGCCGGGTGTGCGGTCATGCAGCCGCCGCAGAGTTGCCCGGGCTTGTTCACTTTCTATCTGACCGGTTGCCGTAGCTGCTGACTTCAAATCGCGGTCGGTGAGATCTGACCTCTAGACCTGAGAGCCGAGCAGGAAACCGAAACCGCCGGGCTCAGCTAACGGCGGCAGAGAGCGCGCACTCGCTCTTCTAGGGCGCGCCCAGAAGCGGCACCGCCCGCGCCCGCCCCCTGACACTTGTAAGTTTCGGTTTTACTCTAAGTCCAGTCCCGCGCCCCGGCGGAGCCAGAAGAGCCAGTGCGCCATGGCGGACCCAGATGTGTGCTGTTTCATCACCAAAATCCTGTGCGCCCATGGGGGCCGCATGTCCCTGGACGAGCTGCTCAGAGAGATCGCGCTCCCTGAGGCGCAGCTCTTGGAGTTACTGGAGCAGGCCGGCCCCGATCGCTTCGTGGTGTTGGAGACAGGCAGCAGGGCCGGAGTCACCCGGTCGGTGGTGGCCACCACTCGAGCCCGGGTCTGCCGTCGCAAGTACTGCCAGAGACCTTGCGACAACCTGCATCTCTGCAAGCTCAACCTTCTGGGCCGGTGCAACTATTCGCAGTCAGAACGGTGAGTGCGCCGGGAAGCAGGGGCAGCTGCCCCGGGAGGGGCGCGCCCTCGCGGGACCCAGCACCCGACGGCCTTTTCCTCCAGGCGCTCCCTTCTCCGCGCCCTTTGGGGAGCCCCAGCGGGGCCCGCGCGCCTACCTTTTCCTTTCCCTTCCTTTCAGCGCTCCAGATCTTTCCTAGAATATGGATGGCTAAAGCGATCGGTGCCGGGTGGAGACCGGGCTCAATCTCCACCCTCCCCCCGCCCGCCCATAACAATGAGAAGAATAAAGTACTTTGGGCAAGTCTGGGCCTAGAAAAATTGGAGGCAGGTTTGAGAACGGAGGAAAATACCTCCACGGTATCTTGCGTCTTCCCCTCTCTGCTGCCTTCTCCCCTAGACGTCCTGGGGTTTTCCCAGCGCACCTCGGGTCTCTGCCTGCCTCTCTCTTCGTAGTCCTTTCATTCTCCCTTCCTTACCACTTTTCTGATATCTGGCGCCAATCTGCACACCTGGCTGTCTTCAAGGTTACCAAAGATGTGGCAGCCTCTCTCAGAGAACCTTCCCGGTGTCTCTCCCCGGTGGCCCGCACCGTCGACTACCCCTTCTTGGGACCACTATCTTAAATCGGTTTAAAATAGTGGAGCTTATGTCTCCAGCATCTGCTTGTGTGTTCCCGTTCGCTTTTTTACCACCAAAATGCAGATGTGTTCCAAGGTTTTTTTTCACGTAAGCCTTGATGTAACTGTCTTCTAACTCTCACCCTACGAGAGCTCAGGCCGTCGGGTTCAGCAGCCACATCTAACAAGATGGCTTCCAGACTTAACGTTCGCCGCCCGGCGCTTCCTACTGAATCAGGGTCTTCATCTCCCCGTGTGTGAGGAACAGCTGCACCTGAACATCTCCTGGTACCCATCAAACTCATTATCGTACTCTCCAGGCAGGGTCTCTGACGTTTTGCCCAATTTCTTAATCCTTCTTCTCCTTCCCAAGGCGTTCATCCACGCGTCCTTGTTGCGAAGTCTTCCATTCCCCTTCTGTCCGCTTCCTCCTTCCCGTTTCGCAATGAATGCCTTGTTGAATTAACGAATGCTTCTCTCTGGCCATAGTTTTTCTTCTCATCTTTTCTGTCCCAAGGCACTTTCGCTCAGTTGTTTTTCTCACTTTGTCCATTTTTAAAAAGATTGAGCGGTGTCCCAGAATCCAGAATGATGGTTGTCAAATTTTCACTCATACACTTAACAAAAAACTGTCATTCAGGCCCAAATATGTGTGTAATAAAACACAAAGGACCAGTGTTTTAAGTAGATTAGAATATATATAGTACATATATATTTTATAATGATAATTGTATTTTTATTCATAATAGTCCCCTTGAAAACATTCCGAGTGTTCATGAAGGACAGAATAGCTACGCCAACCATGTTATTCTCATATAATGTAATCCTACTCAATTGGAAAGGAATGGAGCTCACAGCAACCTCCAACTCTTAGGCGATTCTCTTGCCTCAGCCTCCCAAGTAGCTGGGACTACAGGCGCCCACCACTATGCTCGGCTATTTTTTTGTTGCAGTTGTCGTTGTTTAGCAGGCCTGGTGCGAACCTCCTGCCTCGGTGTATGTGGTAAGCGCCCTAACTACTGAGTACAGGCACCAAGTCTAAATAATACTTTTAAAAAATGTATTTGTTTACAGCAAAAACCCTTCCAGTTCACTCTAAAACGTAAAGAAAAGGATTATTCTCTAATGTTTCCTTATTTAAATATTTAATATGTTGTGAGGCAGCAATTTGAAATTTGTGCATCGTGGCAAGTTACACGTATAGAGGGAGTGAGTCATCTAATCACTCGCAACTGAAGAAATCACGAAAGAGATGAAGGCGGCAGTGGAGAATAGAGAAGGAAGGAACATTCTAGCACATTCTAGCCCCAGAGTGCTAGAATGACAACAGGGTTGGAAAGATTAGTTATCTTCTTTTCTTATCTGTTATAAAAAATTCTCACCGAAGTAGCACTGGCTTTTAGTTTTAAATAATGTGCTGTTTCTCTTTTAATTTCTTACTATGGATATTTTCAACATATTTGATAGGAGAGAGAAGAGAATAGTGAATTCCCATGTATGCATTATTTCAACAGTTTTCAAAATAAGGCCAATTGTGTTTCATTGATTTTCCCCAAACTTCAAGTTGTTATTTTAAAGCAAATCCTGGAGATCATTTGCTTTGTAAATACTTTAGTATCTTTAAATGATAAGGATAATATTTTATTAATATAATACAACACAATGATCTCATTTTTAAAAATCACAATTTTATTATCATCTAATATCAAATTTCCTATATTGTCTTATAAATGCTACTAGCATTTTCAGGAAAAAAAGCTATATAGACATAATCCATAATTGTTTTTTTTTTTTTTTTTTGAGACAGAGCCTCAAGCTGTCCCCCTGGGTAGAGTGCCGTGGCATTACAGCTCACAGCAACCTCCAACTCCTGGGCTCAAGCGAGTCTCCTGCCTCCGCCTCCCAAGTAGCTGGGACCACAAGCGCCTGCCACAACGCCCGGCTATTTTTTGGTTGCAGCCATCATTGTTGTTTGGCGGGTCCGGGCTGGGGATTCGAACCCGCCACCTTAGGTGTACGTGGCTGGCGCCTTAGCCGGTTGAGCTATAGGCGCCGAGCCTCCATAATTGTTTTTTATGTTACTTATCTGATATATTTAGAAACTTTGTTTCAATTTGTTACATATTTAATATTTAGAAATTTATGATTTTATTATGATATATATTTGCTCAGTTTGAAACATCAAAACCATTTTAGGCAGCGCCTGTGGCTCAAAGGAGTAGGGCGCCAGCCCCATATGCCAGAGGCGGCAGGTTCAGACCCAGCCCCGGCCAAAAACTGCAAAAAAAAACCCATTTTAAACTTATTAATTGGGTTGTTAAGCCTACTTTTTAAATATTTTATGAGTATATATGACATAGGGATTATTTGATCTTTGCAAGTTTGATCAAACCTTTCAGAGAATTATTGTTTTTTTTAACTAGAGTGATAAAAATCTTACTTCCGGCTTGTGCCTATGGCTCAAGTGGCTAAGGCGCCAACCATATACATTTAAGGTGTCGGGTTTGAATCCAGCCTGGGTCCGCCAAACAACAATAACGGCTGCAACCAAAAAATAGCCAGGCGTTGGGGAGGGGGTGGCTGTGGTCCCAGCTACTTGGGAGGCTGAGGCAGGAGACTCACTTGAGCCCAGGAGTTGGAGGTTGCTGTTAGCTGTGATGACATGGCACTCTACGCAGGGGCAGAGCTTAAGACTCTGTCTCAAAAAAAAAAACTTCCTACATTTATTAATCTAGCCATATTTTTAATTTTCTTTTATATTGCTTTTGAATTACAAACTTCTAATCTGTTAATATATAAAGTATTCTAATAAGGATTTCTGGGAGAATTTTTTTTTTTTAACTTCCAAGTGGAGAAAACCTGGCCCCCCACCCCAGCCTGCTTTTTAAATATTCTCCTGTTAGCAAAACTTTGTCTTCCAAAACTCCCCACTTCTGAATCTTAGGGGTTTTCTTTGTGTTTTATAGAGTAATGGGTCTGTTAGCTAGTTGATAACTCATGTTGAGGTTACTTTTTCAGTTCAGTAAACTGATCTCTCTCTGTGTTGGGACAATTTGCATTTTGTTGAACTTATACAATTTTGTCTATAGTACTGTAATGTTCTTTTTTTTTTTGAGACAGAGCCTCAAGCTATCCCCCTGGGTAGAGTGCCGTGGCATCACAGCTCACAGCAACCTCCAACTCCTGGGCTCAAGCAAGTCTCCTGCCTCCGCCTCCCAAGTAGCTGGGACCACAGGCGCCTACCACAACGCCCGGCTATTTTTTGGTTGCAGCCGTCATTGTTGTTTGGCGGGTCCGGGCTGGGGATTCGAACCCACCACCTTAGGTGTACGTGGCTGGCGTCTTAGCCGGTTGAGCTATAGGCGCTGAGCCTACTGTAATGTTATTTTCTTTGGACAATTTATTTTTTCTTGATATCTTTTTTTAAATTTTGTTTGTTTGTTTTTTAGAGACAGTCTCACTTTATTGCCCTTGGTAGAGTGCCATGGTGTCACAGCTCACAGCCACCTCCTGGGTTTAGGTGATTCTCTTGCCTCAGCCTCCCAAGTAGCTACACTACAGGTGCCCGCCACAATGCCTGGCTGTTTTTTTGTTGCAGTTTGGCCACAGGTTGAGAACCGCTGTTCTGGGTAGCTAGTAGCACTGCAGGATGAAATGGTAGTTCTACTTTTAGTTCTTTGAGAAATCTCCATACTGATGTAGGACTATAATTTATAGATGGAGTTTCTCCTGTCTGTTTTGTTGTTCCTGTCTTTTTGTTTGCAATGCTTTTAGTTATACATCTTAGTTGACAGCAGGGCTCACTTCAGCATTGATGTGGATATTTCTATTTGCTTTGCTGAAAGATAGGCCCATACTTGGAATTCTTTTATTTTTGAGACAGAGTCTCACTACGTTGCCCTTGGTAGAGTGTTGTAGTGTCACAGCTCACAGCAACTTCAAACTCTTGGGCTTAAGCGATTCTCTTGCCTCAGCCTCCCAACTAGATGAGACTATAGGCGCCCACCACAAGGCCCAGCTAATTTTTGGTTGTAGTTGTCATTGTTGTTTGGATGACAACTGCATTGTTGCTGGATTTGAACCTGCCAGCTCCACTGTATGTGGCTGGCACCCTAGATGCTGAGCTACAGGTGCTGAGCCCATACTTCGAGTTCTAATCCCAGTTCTGACACAAAAATAATCACCATTTATTGACTATGATAAGCACTTTGGAGATGGTATCCAAATTAGTCTTTACTATAGCTCCTGAGGTAGCCGGAGCTCTAAGTCCTATCTTTAATGTAAGGAAACTCAGGCATAGAGCTCTTTAGAAGTTTACTGAAGGTCCCATAGCTAATGACTGGCAGAGTTGGTATTTGAACCCAGATTTGCATGACTTTATTTTTATTTTTTGAAGTGGGG